GGAAGAAGGAAATGTCTTTTGCGACATACGTCTACGTCAGGGTATCAATTCTGTACCTTACACTATAGTGAAGATGCCAAAAGTGAATAGCTTCGCCTCTCTCTAGCCGTCACCTCAGAAAGAGACAAAGCTGCTCACTTTTAGCATTTTCACTATATTGTAAGATACAGAATTGACCCTCAGAACGACCGATTCAACATTCTCCACTCTGAGAAAAATTTTCATCGGATAAACCAATTAAACAAGGGGAATGTTTAAAAAAAATCGACCAAACTGGCAAAATTGATGTTTATTTTAGTCGTTTCGACCCCTTTATCGGGTCCTTTTCAAGTACAGTCTAAATTGTGCAAATACAACTGAGTTTTCTTCGAGATGCGCAAACGTACGGTTGCCACTTGGAATTTTTAGAAATAGACGTCACCATTATAAATCCACTGACTACCGAGACGTATGTGATATTATGAATTTGCCACCGCAGACTCATGAACCCGTTCTGTTTCGGCATAAATTAAAATGTTCAGTCAACTTTAGATTGTACTTGAAAAGGACCCGATAAAGGGTTCGAAACGTCGTGACTAAAGTAAACATCAATTTTGCCAGTTTGGTCGATTTTTTTAAAAAATTCCCCTTGGTCGATTACCACTGGCGACAAGAAGCTGCTCAAATTTCCGATAAAATTATGGATACAGCCGACGAAATTCGATTGGAAAAACCGGTCACATTTTTCATCGGATGTACGATTTGATCGGATATATCCGTTTGTTATTACGTAATTGAATTAACCGATTATATTTAGTCGGACGTTTTTCTCAGTGCAGCGGACACGTACAACTCTGGACCGGTTACGAGGCATTTGCCTGGCCATCGTCACCGCCGCTCGCGACGATCCCCCTTTCCCGACGAGAAAGCTCAATAAAAAGCACCGGGTGGCGAACACGATCTCACCGCATCTAAAATCACCCGGCGGTCCTCGTGATTGTATTAATTCACTTGACGGAATACAGAATACGGGACGCAGGGTGTATACAGATGCCCCGGGAGTTTGCGTGTGGATGTATTGTCTTCTCGGCTCCTTTCTCGCATTAGCATAAGAATTCAGCGTGTGCCTGATGCGCCTATCAATCGGATCCTCCCCCCCCCTCTTCGCGGTCCCCCCCCCTCCTCTCTCTCCCCCTCTGATGAATCAAGACTTAAATCTTGCACCATGATCAGCCGGCAGTCCGAATGTCGAAACGTCGTCATCATCGATCGAAATCTGAAACACGTTGGCCCGTAAAAACCGACAGCTTTGGCCTCAAATGGCCGACACCTCGGAAAGTACAACGGCATTGCGACACGCGAGGATTGATCTTATCACGACTGGGAACTCCTAATGGTCGCATTAACCGACAAGATTTTGCCGGAATTGAATATCAGCGGCGAAGAGATGTGTGCGAGAATGACCGGAAGACCGCGACGTATATAGCAGAGAGTTACTTGTCCGCGTTAAAGAGCGACGAAGGCACAGATAATTTCAATCGAATTTTAATCACGAAACCTTACAGAATTCTAGGCGCCTGTGCTGTTTTAAGTAACAAAATCTACCGTGCATTTTACAGCTTTCAGTCTCGTCTATAATTTTTCTGCTTCCTCCAGGTAGCGAGCGTAGCACGCTGATAAATATATAACACGGCGCGAAGTATATTAAAATAAATCTCTGCCACGTGATACGCGAGGAAACGTTGCATACGGGACGTAGATAAATTCTAAAGTAACGTTACGCGAGCAAGTAAGCCAGCGTGAGTTTTTCGGAGCGATTTCCAAGCTCTTTGTCGTACGGTACGTGTCACGTGGGGTGCCCTTGCCCAAATTAAGAGTCAAGGCTCAGAGGACCGGGAGGGCCGAGTCGTTTCGGGCCGCCGAGTGCGCGTCGCGAAGTCGAAGTGAGGAGCGAAAAGATCGACGATCCAGTGGCTCCGGTCCCAAGAACAGAAATTGTTACGTGCCCGCTCCGGCAGCGTGATCCGAATGCTCATGCGAGTGGCGATCGGCCGCGGTCATCCAGAGCCGAGAGGAGAGACTTCACGAGAGTCCCGTAGCGTTACTCAAGCGCGGAGGAGCTTTCTTCGACGGACGCGCGCACGCACACACGTATAATACACGCACGCGTGAGCAGTGCCGTAGCCAACGGTGAAAAGTATATCCCGAGCGATATTACGTATTACCGCAGGCCCTACCGCGTGCGTGTAGATTAATAATTACAACGACAGAGACGGGAACGCGGCGATCATACAACGCGGTGGGAAAAAAATATCCGTAAGGTGGTAATCTATCTCGCGCGCGTTATCCGCTCCCGTGCCTCATTGAGAATTTCGTTGAGATAAGCGAACCGCTATTGCGTTAGCGGCGGCTATTTGTCACGGAGTTTTACGTGAATTACGACCGGTGTTCATAGCGACATAGCCCGACCTTAACATTCAAGATCATCTCCCTAAGTAGCACAGTGCATTGGCTAAACATTGGTTAAATATTGGTCCAATGTTGGTTGTGTTACATAATAATTACACAATATTAGATTTATATTGGAAGTGCATTCGCCAATATTTAACAATGTAGTAAGAATATTAGATCAATATTGCTAAATAAACATATTGGCTAAATAAGAGAAGGCCATCTTACAATATTGGACCAATATTGGGATTCACATTATTTCCCAATATTGCGCCAATACATTGTGCTACTAGGGTAGGATCAAATTCGATCTTGAGACACTGTACGGTCGTTTTGTTGGTTGAACGAAGTCTCGTGCCAGACGTAAAGACAATATTGGTCCAATATTGATTATATTAGAAATACTTTGGCCAATATTGTCCAACGTAAAGCCAATATTGTTCTTGGAATATATGCAAATATTGCACGATAATAATTATATAATATTAGATTTATATTGGAAGTGCATTGGCCAATATTTAACAATGTAATAAGAATATTAGATCAACATTGCTAAATAGACATATTGGCTAAGTAAGAGAAGGCCACCTTACAATATTGGACCAATATTGGGAATACTAGATTCACATTATTTCCAAATATTGCGCCAATGTATTGTCCTACTAGGGTAGGATCAAGCTCGATCTTGAGACACTGTACGGCCGTTTTGTTGCTTGAACGAAGTCTCGTGCCAGACGTAAAGACAATTTTGCAAGAGGGGCAACCACTAGCTAAAATGTTGTCCCACCGATTGCACGATTTCATTAGATTACAAATAATTTCATCTAATTGCAAATCGTTGTCTTATATGCACGTTTAAAAATAGGCGACGTTGTTAAGAGCTGTTAGATTTCCTCAAGACATTATATCTTTTTGATTATTTGCTTGTAGAGGTAACTTCAATTAAGATTGTAATATTCGGCTAGGTAGAAAACATGTTTCCTCACTTCCCACTTTTCCCACCAATCTAACCGTGGTCTTGACGAGAAGTAATTTTGCATTTGTATCTACTGTTTATTGTTCTCTAAATTTGCGCGCAAAGGTGTGTCAACTCACTATCCTAACAGCAACTACTTCAGTCTTGTTATGAAAAAAATAGTACGCGGTTATAGGCGTAAACAAGTTGAGAAAAGGTTCAAATTTAATGTTCATCGTCTAACAAGTGAAGAAACTTGAAAATAAAGGCAAAACGATTACATGGAGCTTTCGTAAGGATTCCATAATGCTCTCGGAGACACTGTCCCATGATTACATCAAGCGATTACATTACCCCCTTGCAATTTTGAACATATAATCGGACCAGGAATACCACCCTGAGTGTTACATAATTGTTTGTGTCACGGAGACACTCTTCAAGTCCACAGAGGGTAGACTATAGCGATCTCGTGTGTTCGGGGCGCGAAAGCAGCTAATCACGTCGCTACGCACGTCAAAAGGCGATTGTCCGTCCACGCGGAAGCAGAGAGCCCACGGCTCTCTGCATCTATCCCTCGATCACCTCTCGCTCGCAGGACACGTACTCGTCGTGTCCCCGTACACGTCCTCGCGTATACGACGCGCACGGTATGTATCGCCGCGCCGCCGCGCCACGCCGCGCCGGTGCGTGTACGCGTCCTCTCGGTGTACGCGACTCGCCACGGACGGTGCGTGATGCCGAAACGGTCGACCGGGATGTCGGACGGGAATCTGCGCGCCGGCAATATCGAGGGCAGGCTTTCGCGAGGAATTTAAAGAGCAGATCGATCGTAATCTCCGGCACGCCCCGGGTCTTCTCGAACGCGCCCGCTTTCGATCGAGCTGCTGCCTGGCTTATCCTCCTCGAGTTGTTCGGATCGGATAGGCGAAACATTATCTCGATTAGTAAAATTGACAGCGTTAAAGATTACGAGATTTCTCAGAAAAAGATAGCGTATTTTTTTTACTCAAGTTGCACTTCATTTTCATAGAACATTAATACTGATGCGATATTAGTAAATTTACAAAATAAATATTTGGATTAAATTAATTTTAAACTTTAATTTTTATCCTAAGAAGTTATTTATTAAAAATTAATTATTTTAAACGTTATTTTTAAAAAATGTTAGAAAATTCATTGTAACGACTTTGGTTTTGTCCGAGAGCTTCATTCAGTTAGAAAACTTTTAAGAGTATAAGATACAGTTTTTGTACGTTTTTATCATTCTTTCAGATTCCCTTATTGTACTCTATTTATTGTCACATATGAAAAGAAGTAAGTTCTTATAGATAGAGATATTGTGTCATATCGTGAAACGAACGGTCGTAAATTATACATCGGTTATCGATCATCGTTTTATTTCTGTTGTTCCTCCGATTTGGTACCAATAAATTTCACTTATAAAGCGACCACGTGACCGAACTGTTTTTTAAAACACATTTTCGCCAACAACGTTGTGGTCAAAGGGAGTCTCGCGAGTACGAATGAGCATACTTCGTCGCAACGCTGAATCGTCGCTGAATACGACGATTTGTCCTTTCGTTTAATGCATGGGTATTTAATGCGTTCTACTCACCAAACAGGTAGACGCTTTTATGAATGCGACTGGCATTGCCTGTGGGTGAGACCGCCGAATATGGATGACGGCCGAAGATGACCGGGAGCGATGAGACTGCTTAGCGAATAAGGACGTGACGTAGCCGCAGCTTGACCTATAAGGCAAACGGATTTGCTGTTAATAGTCAATATGCATTAGACAAACAATGAGCGGATCTTCGGGCCGCACACGATGCCGACGGTTTTTTTCCCCCTGCGACGTTGCAGGGATTTCGAGCGGCGAGAGCTACAATTACAACTACAAATCGGAAACTGTAACAATTATGTAACTCCTTACTTTGTAAATAGCAATTTGCTCGTTGAGCAAAAAGTGCTCAATTGCATCTAACAATAAGAAGAAAAAAATACAGAGATACGGAAAGAAATATCTACATATGGAAATAAGAAACGCAAACGAGTGCAAATATCGATGCAATGTGCAACAGTAAAAAATGAGAGAGAAGGCAGTTGTAAATTTTACTTGCTACGATATATATTACATTTTGCACAAACAAAAATTATAATACTCTTACTTTAGACATTCATGTATGAGTTATAATAAATCAAGAAATACATGTGGAAAGAAAGACTCATACAGCTGAAGTTAGGCGATGTTCGCTCCGTCTTTTATTCGCGCCGTTAAACTTTTCAGACAAATTATGGATGACACATGTGTAACGATCTATAACCAATCTAACAGCTAGCATTAAGCAGTCAATGAGATAATAGAGAAAATTTTGGGGAAATTTAACAGAAAATTGATCATGATTCTCGACTCGGGAACGTCGAGTTCAGACACGAAAGTTAAAGACGATGATTATAAAATAAAAAATTCCAAGGTAAATACATATATATTAGTTTTTTGTCGATTCTAATCCGATCGTTTCTGGCACCACAATTGTTATTCCTCCACAAATTATTGCATTTGATTATTCAACTAAAATTTCAATCCAGACAATTACTGTAGAATACAAAAAATAATCGGTATACTTTTAACATTTGATTTAAACAATTAACTGAAAATGTCTCTTGTTCTTTATATTTCTTTCAGTTGAAGACGCTGTACTTAGGTATAATATGTTTCACTACAAACTGTCTAAGCTCGATCGCCCTGGAAGCCGGTTCGCGCAGTTCATCTCGTTCTATTTCGCCGAGACCTGCGGTTTTTAACAATTTATTCCGCCGCAATTACAGTAACTGAGCTCCAGCTTCGCACGAGTAATTAACGTGAGCGCGATGATGGTAGAAAATAATTTGTGATCTTGCTCGACGCAGACTTGAGGATTAAGATAATGGTGGGGGACGTGCTTGCGGCGTTGGTGTCAACAACGATGCTAACAATCGGCAATACGTATGGAATTCCGTATCTTTACCTGCCATGGCTCGTCAACACTATCGAAGGGATGGCTTTTCACGAGGTGCCAGCTCTTTACGAATTGGCGCATACCGTACTACCCAATGCAAACTTGCCCACGGGATTATTTATGTTTCTAACGCTGCTTCTATTCGGTAAGACACTGAAAAATGCGCGGTTAAGATTGTGGAACCTCATTCGCGAATATGACGAGACATTATTTAATTCCAACTCATGTGCGAGTCCTGAAGTCGAAAACAGATTTTATCGAAAGCTTCTAATGTCGAGGCTCGCCTCACGCTAACGTTGCAAATTGTAAATATATTTCTAGCATTAAGTCCATGTTAGACTACGGATTGAGATTAGCTTGAAATTTTACCAATCGGAGTAAAGTTTACTAATCTCAAGTTTGGCAAATTTTACTCCGATTGGTTTCAATCTGATCTCAATCTCGACTCGTAGTCCGATACGGGCTTTAATGTTAGCTGGAAGTATATGCAAAATACTACGTTCAAATATTTCTCCATTGTAACAGCGTGAAATTAGATTGTCAAATTTGAAAACTAATTTACGATTTTTTAATCGATAAGGCTGGATAATTTATAATTATGACTAAATTTTACCTTTCAGTGGAAGAACTGTGCATCTGGAAGGACGTTGTCGCGAAATTCCAACGTTGCTGGACAAAATATAATAAAAATAAACAGAGAAGAGATGCAAAACCGACGGAGATGGCAAATAAAGAATTATACGACGAAGTTAAAGGAAGCCTCGCCGAAAACATAGTCGAGCGAAAATCAACAGACGAAAGAGAGCGAGACTCTACAGCTCATTTCAATGAATCTAACAATCATGGTGTCACAGAGTCTGTTGCAAAAAATGTGAAAGACAACGTATCGATTAAAAGTCGTCGTAGCAAAGGCCCGTTTACGGAGGTGACTGGCTAGATCGGTTAATCGAGTTTTCTTAAATGGAAAGTTCAATCGTGAATCGCGATTAGGGAATATCGAATTCTGATATAACAATCAAAGGTTAGGTAAAACTTTTTTAAAATCAAAAGTGAATGTGAAATTAATTTAATAATGCATTAAAATGCGATGCGCGTTAAATTAATTTCAATGCCCTCCGATCAGCAAAAATGCTGACTGCTGTAAAATGCAATTAAAAATTAATAAACGATTAGACGAAGGAGACTAATCCTGTAATAGCGCCATTAAACGTGCAAATTATGTGTAAGCTCAATTTTAAGATTACTTTGATATGAAAATCGCATTTTACCGAAACATGAAAACATGTTGCTTCGATTTCGTAGGAGAATACGAGTCTCGAAATGGATTACAATTTATTGTAAATCTATGCGGACAGTCAAATTTTGATATTTGTTTCTTGCCTTTTACAGTACCGTATCGTATTTTCCTTCGTTCATATCGCCGTTTTCTCTGAAAAATGCAGAATATAAATTTTGCAAGTAGCAACGAGCACCGCGCGCATACATCGTTCCACGATTACGTTGAGAATGTCGTAAGGAAGCGATTCGACAACCTCAATGAGGTCCAGTTTCACCAACGCTGTTTAACTTTGAGCTTAGCTTAATCCGTTCTTTGTCTCCAACTGTTACTTCAGAAAGAGACAAAGCGTGAATCCCAGCGAGAGATGATTCGTCGATCGCCGAGGGGGAAACCGCTAACCAAAATCTTGTACACCAATGCCCACTAATGCCCAGTGGGCATTACTTTATCTTATTATCTTCTTTTATCGTATTTATCTTGTTTTATCTTATTTTATCTTACTGTACCTTATTATATCTTATTTTATCTTTATAATGCCCCAGCAAGACGTAATGCCCAAAAAATGTCCTAATAATGCCCAGTAATGCCGCAAATATGTACACCACAATGCCCTCAGCGGTTTCCCCCTCGTCGATCGCTGTCGAGTCGACGTCGATTCGACGGTGTCGATGTCGATTCGACATCGTTTCGACATCGATCGACGAGTCATCTCTCGCTGGGTTTAAACTTGTATGATTGAAGTTAAGCGACGTTTAGCGAAAAGCTTAAGGCCCGGTTTCACCAACGCTGTTTAACTTTCAGCTCAGTTTAATTCATTCTTTGTCTCCTTTCGACTGTTACTTTAGAAAGAGACAAACGTGAATTAAATGAATTAAACTAAAATGAAAGTTAATCGACGTTTGGTGAAATCTGGCCTAAGGCACCAACGCCACGAAATTTTAACTTTAGCTTAATTCACTTTTCGTCTCTTTCTATTTCCCTTAGAAAGAGACAAAGAGTGAACTGAGCTAAGGTTAAAGTTAAGCGACGTAGAAACCGGGTCTAAAGCCTTGTGTCCACGATGCTAGAACTTGGTCCAAGTTTTAGTTCCGAGAAATATACAGCCGATCAACTTGTAGCTTTTATGGAATAGCTGCAAGTTGATTGGTTACATATTTCTCGAAACTAGAACTTGGACCAAGTTCTAGGATCATGGACACAGGCCTTTAGGCCCTTTAACCTTAGCTTAATTCGTTCTTTGTCTCTTCCCAACTGTACTTCAGAAAGAGACAAACCAGAATTAAACTAACGTTAATTCTGGTTTGTCTCTTTGTAAAGTACAGTTGAGAAGGGACAAAGAATGAATGAAGGTTAAAGGGTCTAAGGCCCGGTTTCGTAAGATTAAAGTTAAGCGACGTTTGGAGAAACCGTACCTAAAAGAGGTAAAATAGAGGCGAGAGACGATCGTTACGACATACCGATGAATCGTTGCAACAACCGCCCGTCCAATGATTCACACGGCACTCCCAATGTACGGCTCGCACGTCACGACTGGGGCGTCGAGACCCTCGCCCGGGGGATTCCAGATCAGGCGCGTCTGATTAAGAGAGAATTTCAACAATTGACTGCGAGGAATTTAGACCCTGTCTTACCGTGGATGCTGCTCCATGCTGCCCCTCGAGAATTGCCAGGTGAGAGACGCTCTTTCCGCCGCCGATCGAGGAGACGGGGACGCGCGGCGACATTGGCGCTGAGCGACAGCCGCGGACAACGATCGCCGGCGATCAATCAACGCTGCGGATATTAATTAACGGCGGCGTTGCGACGCCGCGCACTCGACTTCCGCCGTTTATCGGCACGCGCTTCAGCTCGCGTGGCTGGTTCTCCTCTTATCATCTCACGCGAGTACGTGCGTGCCAAACGCGAGACGATCTTCGCTTCGCGACTCCGAGGATTCGACGCGGCGGGAAACGGGCGTTCGCGCATGCGCGCGCCGCGCATCGCCACCGCCGCGCTTCTTGCCGGCTTCCCGACGATTAATCCGACGATCCGTACGACGACCGAGCGCGCGCGTTCGACAGCGATCTTCCAAGTGCGAACTGTACAGCCGCGTCACGAGAGTGTGATATTTACCTGCCGCGCGATTCATTTTTGACACGAGGATGAGATTTACACGCGAAGCGAGTCCCACCTAGCCTCGAATCGGCCTGTGTCGCGGCGCGAAACTAACCGGGCGCATGCGCATGCGCATTCAAGTTCGTGGAGCATAGAAAAACTAGAAGTAATGACGCGTGGAAGAAATGAGCAATACAATCAATATGGAGAGATAAGGCCGGTATTCATAGTCAGATATCCAGGACCGCCTTGAATTTATCCAAAGATGCTGTACGGAACATTTTATTGGCTGTCGAGTATCTAAAGGTAATCTTAAGACGGTCTTGAATATAAAATGACTGAGGCCGGTATTCATAGTCGATTCTTATTTCAAAATCATCTTAAGAGGCTCCCCATGACATTTACTAATAGCGAATTCGCTTGCACTCATTGTCAGTGCGCACTAGTGCAAACAACCAAATTCACTCAAAGTTAAATATAAGAATTGACTATAAACTAGCCTTACCTCTGGTCCACAATCTTGCTTTCAGTAAAGCCCGTATCAGACTACGGATTGAGATTGGAATTAGATTGAAATTTGACCAATCAGAGTAAAGCCCGTATCAGACTACGGATTGGGATTGGGATTAGATTGAAATTTAACCAATCACAGTAAAGTTTACTAAGCTCAAGTTCAGTAACTTTTACTCTGATTGGTCCAATTTCAATCTAATCCCAATCTCAATCCGTAGTCTGATACAGGCTTAAAAGTTACTGAAAGTTACTTGAGATTAGTAAACTTTATTGTGATTGGTTAAATTTCAATCTAATCCCAATCCCAATCCGTAGTTTGATACGGGCTTAAGTGCCAATCTACAATAGAGATTTAAATCCTAAGCCTTAAGAAATTGACTAATCACAGTCGCGCATTCTACTCATACTTGACCGTGATTGGCCAATTTCTTAAAGCTCAGGGCTTAAATCATCTATTGTAGACTGGGACTAATGGCCGATTTTTTCACTTCCCGATAAAATTATCCGGAGGTTAATCTCAAGTTTTGGCCAATCACGTGCATGGATCTGGTAGTTATTTCCCGTTTAACTTTAACCGTAACATAACTGGATGTGAAGAAATCGGGCATAAGCTGCAAGCTTTAAGCCGTAAGAAATTAACCAATCACAGACATTTATTACCCTCACTCTCACCTGTGATTGGTTAATTTCTTACGGCTTAAGGCTGGATTCACATGGAGCGTAACTTGCGTAGCGTAACCTGCGTATCACCAATCACAGAACTATTTCAACGGAATTATTGAAACGGTTCTATCAGAATGACCCTATGATTGGTGATACGCAGGTTACGCTACGCAAGTTACGCTCCATGTGAATCCAGCCTAAGGCTTATAGCTTAAGCCAACGGCACACGATACTATTTTTCCTACTAGATTGCTTACGAGAGCCAATCAGAATGCAGAGTTTTCGATCAGGTGACTCAAAGCTGTATCCTGATTGGCTCTCGTAAGCATAGACATATATGTCTATGCTCGTAAGTGATCCAGTAGGAAAAATGGTATCGTGTGCCATTGGCTTTACTTAAAGCAAGATTGTGAACCAGGGGTAATTGGCATCAAGGCTGCTTTCGCGAGAAAATCAAAATGATCCAGATTAAAATGATTGGTCAAATCTGGAATTTCATTGAATAAAATTTCAATGTGATGCTATGAAATTTCAGATTTGACCGACTATAGTAGTCTGTTTTTTATTGCTGCACTCCTGAACTAGTGCACACTGGTGCAATGAGTTGGAATGAGAGGTAATCCATTTGTTTCATTTTAACTTATTGCACTAGTTCAGTAGTGCAGTAATAAAGAACAGGCCTTAGCACAGGGTCATTTTAATCCGAATCATTTTGATCCTCTCGCGAAAGCAGCCCAAATACACTTGACGGAAAACCGACAGTTGTGTTTGTCGTATAACCATGGCACAGTTCGGGATTCGTTCCTGTTCAGCTCCCAAGATGGCGTTATACGTAGCGGACGGAGTAGCCTCGTTCGATCCCTTTTTCTATGCATTATCTACGCTGCCTCGACGATTCTCCTTCATCCTCGATGTATCGTTTCTAGGTTAATTTGACCGGATTGATAGGCTGGGGATTGTTTTATGTATTTCCTGAGCTCACGTTACAAACGTACACCGTAGGTGAACTTTGAAGGTACTTATGCAGCGCGTTTCAATCAACTGTTCCATGGATGCGAAAACTACGATCTCGCGATACAGCGCCTAGCTTCCTCACGCGTGACGCTATAGTTTATAGGTTATAGGACGCTGGTACGGTTTTTTAAGCGTTGCACCTTTTTAAGATTTTAAACACAGCTGTCTGTTTGTTCTATTCAAAATTTCATAAATATTTCATAACGAATTGCGACGCGTATTCCGCGTTTGTTCAACGGCGATTCCCAAAATATGATTCGTCCATTTTCATTTCAGGAGACAATACTTTACTGATATTCAGGTGTGCACACCGAGAGAAAAATGTCAGACGATCCGAGCTTGTACAGATTAGAGGGGACTGCGGGGAATGAACCGGGTGGTCTGGTCATACGTAAGAAAGTTTCCGATCACACGTTCAAGAAGCCGTCTGTGCTGGGCCTCGACAAGCTCGCGGAGCGCAAGAGGAGGGAGCAATCGCAGGAGCCCGCCAGCTCCAAGTCCAACAGATCCGAGGGGAAGGACAGGAAGTACCGGACTTACGAGGAGGAGACGCCCACTCACACGGGAGGCGTCAATTCCGAGGCGCAGCGGCGACTGGAGTCGCGGCTCAAGCGTCAACGATTGAACGAGGACGACAGGAATTCCAGAAACTCGTGGAGAGGAGCGCGCGAGAGGGATCGGGACAGACGAAGGGATCGGGACAGGGAGAGTCGGGGCAGAGACAGTAGCGTGAGGCAGACGCCTCTTAGATTCAAGGACGAGCCCCAGACGCCCAAGTTCCGGACGAGGGATCCGACGTCAAAGAGCAATTGGGACGACGACGAGGACGAGGAGCCGAAACGCTCGAGCTGGGATCACCCGACGCCGAATCTGTATAACAACAGGGACGGTCGCGACAGTGTCCGCAGTGAATTCACACCTTCCTACAAGTACAACTCTTGGAACAAGGATTTCAAGGGTTCCGGCGTCACTCCGATGATAGACGGCGAGGAGAAGGAGCTGTGGGAGGAGGAGCAGCAGCGGCTGGACAGGGAGTGGTACGCGCTGGACGACGGCGAGAACAACGCGTTTGCCAACGTGTCCGAGGAGTACACGCGCAAGAAAGAGATGGAGCTGGAGGCGAGGAGGCAGAAGCGTCTGTCCGCCCAGCAGCGGCAGATAAACAAGGACAACGAGCTGTGGGAGCGCAACCGTATGCTAACGTCCGGAGTGGTGAGCTCGTTGGACCACGACGACGATCCGGACGACGAGGGGGAGGCGAGGGTGCACTTGCTCGTTCACAACGTGGTCCCGCCGTTCCTGGACGGGCGCATCGTGTTCACGAAGCAGCCGGAGCCGGTCGTGCCTGTGCGCGACCCCACCTCCGACATGGCTATGGTGGCGAGGAAGGGCTCGGCACTGGTCAAGGCGTACCGCGAGCAAAAGGAGAGACGCAGGGCGCAGAAGAAGCACTGGGAGTTGGCCGGCACGCACATCGGCAATATCATGGGTGTGCACGATCGACGTAAGGACGACAAGGAGCACGCGGGACAGGAGACGGACTTCAAGGCCGGGCAGAAGTACGCCCGGCACATAGGCTCGGGAGAGGTGACCGGGGAGGCCAGGCACAGGTCTATACAGCATCAGCGGAGGAGTCTGCCCGTGTTCGCGGTGCGTCAGGAGCTGCTGAACGTTATCCGGGAGAACAGCGTCGTGGTGATAGTAGGCGAGACCGGTAGCGGCAAAACTACGCAGTTAACGCAGTACCTCCACGAGGATGGCTACAGTCGCAATGGTATTATCGGTTGCACTCAGCCCAGGAGGGTCGCTGCCATGTCCGTCGCGAAGAGAGTCTCCGACGAGATGGCCACTGCTCTGGGCGACAAGGTCGGATACGCGATACGTTTCGAAGACTGTACTTCGAAGGATGTGAGTGACGATAATTTCAGTATGACTCGGATATTGTATGTTCTGTCTGAAATACATACAATTCCTGTGTATCTCGACACGACGCGTGTAACACGTGAATTTTACTTTTTACAGACGGTCATCAAGTACATGACCGACGGTATTTTACTGAGAGAAAGTTTGAGGGAAGGAGATCTGGATCGTTACAGCGTGATTATAATGGACGAAGCTCACGAACGATCACTTTCCACCGACGTATTGTTCGGTCTCCTGAGAGAGGTGCGGTTCGCGTTTTTTTTTAAATCCTGTATTACTTATACGTGTCGAACAGTCTTTTTGATTTAGAAATGTTTGTAGGTTGTCGCCAGACGTCACGATCTAAAATTAATCGTTACTTCCGCAACGATGGACTGCAGCAAGTTCTCCGCTTTCTTCGGTAATGCCGCGACGTTCCAGATACCCGGACGCACGTTCCCGGTCGAAGTGCTGCACGCGAAGAACCCGGTCGAGGATTACGTGGACGCGGCTGTGAAGCAGGTCTTGCAAATTCACTTGCAGCCCAAGAGCGGCGACGTGTTGGTCTTTATGCCCGGTCAGGAGGACATCGAGGTCACGTGCGAGGCTCTGAAAGAACGTTTAGCTGAGATCGAATCGGCCCCGCCTCTTTCCATCCTGCCTATTTATTCCCAGCTGCCGTCGGACTTGCAGGCAAAGATCTTCCAACGTTCCGAGGGTGGTCTACGCAAATGCGTCGTGGCGACTAATATAGCGGAAACGTCGTTGACGGTCGACGGAATCGTCTTCGTCGTCGACTCGGGATACTGTAAATTGAAAGTGTACAATCCTCGAATAGGTATGGACGCTCTGCAGGTCTATCCCGTGTCGAGAGCCAACGCTGACCAAAGACAGGGTAGAGCCGGTCGTACCGGACCTGGTCAGTGCTACAGACTGTACACGCGAAGGCAGTACTTGGACGAATTGTTACTAACGGGTGTCCCCGAGATACAACGTACAAATTTAGCCAACACGGTACTGCTGTTAAAATCGCTAGGAGTTCAGGACCTGTTGGCGTTCCATTTCATGGATCCGCCGCCGCAAGACAATATATTAAACTCGTTGTATCAGTTGTGGATCTTGGGGGCGCTCGATCATACCGGGCGCTTGACTCCCCTCGGACGACAAATGGCCGAGTTTCCCTTGGACCCGCCGCAATGTCAAATGCTCATAGTCGCTTCTCAGCTAGGCTGTACCGCGGATATCCTCATCATCGTCTCCATGCTGTCGGTCCCGTCGATCTTCTATCGGCCAAAGGGACGCGAGGAAGATTCAGACTCGGCACGCGAGAAGTTCCAGGTGCCGGAATCGGATCATCTAACGTATTTAAATGTATACAATCAATGGAAGGCGAATGGTTATTCGAGTTCCTGGTGTAATGACCACTTCATACACGCAAAGGCGATGCGCAAGGTGCGGGAGGTACGATCGCAACTCGAGGAGATTCTGAAGCAACAGAAGATGGATGTCGTCAGTTGCGGAACCGACTGGGACATCGTGCGGAAGTGCATCTGCTCCGCTTACTTTCACCAAGCGGCACGCCTGAAGGGCATCGGCGAGTACGTCAACTGCCGTACTGGAATGCCATGTCACCTTCATCCCACCTCCGCGCTGTTCGGTATGGGTTTCACACCTGACTACGTCGTATACCACGAGCTCGTGATGACCGCCAAGGAGTACATGCAGTGCGTCACGGCAGTGGATGGTCACTGGCTGGCTGAATTGGGCCCAATGTTCTTCAGCGTGAAGGAGACCGGTCGAAGCGGTCGTGCGAAACGACGGCAAGCGATGCAACACCTCCATGAAATGGAACATCAAATGAAGGAGGCCGAGGAGGAGATGAAGGCGCGCGCTCAAGAGCTACTTGAGCGTGAACAGGCGTCAGTTCGAAAGAAGGAGATTTTAACGCCCGGTATTAGGGAACCGGGCACTCCCGCCCCGTATCGTAATACACCCGGAAGGCTAGGATTATAATTTCGGTTTCTTTTATGTGCAATGTCTTGAGTTGGAATATTTGTTTACAAAAATGGATCTTTTTCTCAACTGTAATACAGTTCTGTAATACTTTTCCTGCCTAATCTACGATGTGCTTTCTGCATCTAGAAACATTCTATTTTATATAAACAAATCGAAATGCTTATAAAAAATTGTTAACAATGTACGATTGTACAGTGTATAGTCAGGTATGCCAAGTTAACCCACTAAAACCACCACGATGGCCTTCCCTGCATTGTGGGAAATGCGGAGGTACGACACTAGGCATTCTTCCCCGTAATGATGTACAATTTAGCCACTCGCATAAATTTTGTAAACGTACTTATTGACTACAAAATAGAATGTTTCTAGACGCGAAGAGCACATTGTAGATCAGGCTTAGTAGCAAAAAAAAGGACCAGACATAACTTGACATAATTTATCATTGTAGCTGCAACATCAGCGATAAATTTTCAATCTTAATGTTAATCTCTGGACTTTTTTTTTTATTGGGTTCCACTTTTCTTGCAGCACAACAATACATAATTATAATGTATAATTACATTATAGTCTTTACTTTCAGATTAGGTTAACAATTTAATCTCCGACTCGAAATGCAAAATGATCAATGTATGTGTATGACAATTGAAACATTTTAGACGATTAATATATTGTACAAAGTATTATGTGTATAAAATATCATTAGGCGTGATATGTATAAGATTTTTTGTAAATAAAATTATTTTTATTGCAATATTGAATGCTCTTTGTCATACCTGCAGTCATTTACCTAAGAGTAAACCTTGTTGCTTGGGCCACAGATACAGAAACAGAAAACAGTATAATTACGGTCAATTATATCACATAATGTGCACATTAATAGACATGCATAATTTAAACATGTAAAAATTTATGTATGATTATTAATTACACATTAACGATACAATCAACAGTATATATCATTCTTTTACTTTGACTGAAGTAATTGCGAACATAAAATAAATATATAACTGTCTATCCTCATATTAGCAATTTATTCCCTTCCAGTAAACAATTTATCATTTTTAAACCGATTCTATCGGATTATTTAACAATTTATAATCAATTAGCTAAAAATAAATTTGTGAATATATAATTAATATATATAATTGAAAGAAACCATGTCGCATTGTTACAAAATATAATTAAATGCAATCCACGAGCGTTATTCCTTAAAATGTCTACGAAAGTAGTTCATAAAATATATTGATTTATGCGCATATCGACAGACTTTGTGATACATGATAATATGGAAAACAACTATTTTAATGAAAAAAATGGCACGTAAGTAGAAACAGATAGACCACAATTTTTAATTAATAAAATTAATGTCTTTAGTTGTGAAACTTTTATAAATTGCAGAAGTATTATTTCAATTTTTACATTTGTTTAAAGAATGCATTATTTCAGTTGTAAGCTGATCAAATGGCAGTGTAGTGAAATGACTGCGTAGTACTTTTCATAAAAATGAAGGTAGGCTCAGGTATTTTAATCAGCATTAAACCATTCATTCATTATTTATAATTGAATTGGAGCTAAAAATTATGTACAGAACTCTCAAGTCATTTTTGAAAATTATGAAAAGTAGACGGATATAGATGTCCTTTGTACAAACACTGTCGAATAGTTTCAGCTTTTTAAATTACTTAAAAGCCTTAATATAGGCTGGGTACGAGATTTGAGGGATCTGCAACTTTGTCGGAGGCTCGCTTGTCCGCGTTTCGTAATGATGACACATACGTCGTCTTTCTCATCTAATCCCGTGTGTAACTCATATTTTTCAAATTCTGTTAGGACCGCATCTAAATTTTCAACTCTTTCTGAGAGTAATACAGCTACTTCCCTCCAAGTCTGCAATACAATAAATAACATTTATAAAATTTGGTCATACTAAAATTTCATAAATATAAACAGCTACTATTTTATAAAGCAGTATAATAAAGATAATTATCTATGACGCTTTATTTTTACACATATATGAAATGTTGCAATTATCAATAACAAAATTTACCTTGGTCTCATTGGTCTCGTTTATCATATTTGACTCAATTTTCTTATTATATTTCTTCTTATTTTTCTTTTGAGATTGTGCGCGTGGTTCCGCTTGTGTCGCACATGCACTACATATAGCGCTAATAATCGCTAAAGATTCACTACAAGTTGAAGCTCTGAGTAAGAAGTTTTTGAAAGATACTGGCTTATCTCGATCAGGAATAGGTAATGTCTGCAAGCAAGGAGTCGTTCGCAGCATCTGTATGCAATCGTAGTCCGGACAGTGAGAATGGGAAAGTGATTTTGCAAGGCACGCTATAGTTCTTAATTGCTCCGAATGATAAGCTTCACGTAATCTTTCTACAGCATCAAGAGGAACCAATATTTTGCATGGTCCGGTCTTCTTTCCATCCGTGCCAAATTTTTGTAATACAGTTGGTATACTTTCTTCTGCTAACTCTTTAAGCTCGCCAGATATTTGAGAAAGATACATAGAAGACGATCCAGCACTCGCCGCCAAGATACGCAATATGGCATTTCTTGCCGCAAGTAATTTTAACATACATATGCGTGTCTCCTCCTGCATTCTTGGATCCTCCTCGCTCTGAGTCAGTGGTTCCCAGCCGCGAACAACCTATTTAACATAGTAATTTTGTAAATTTCGCACTGATATTAAATTAGACCCTTATATTTCTCCGAATTACATTGAGATTCTCCAAAATACTCACCTCCAAATCACGATTGTCTCGCAAAGATGCCCATCTAATTGAATCGAGATGGGGTTGGATATGCATATTATTCAAAGTAGAAAACAGAGAAGTAGTACTGTCACACCAACACAAATCGAGGAGCATTTTATCTACAGTTGTTATAGCAAAATGTAACGAATTTTCTAGGCGTTCTCTTAATTCCACAAAATCCTGAATTTTTATAAAACTCCCATATTTGTATGCAAGTGTTAAATGATCTGCACTCTAAAAGAAGAATTACAAAGTCCCTAAATTAGATACAGTCTTATATATGCCCTTTAAACCTAGTATGCTTGAAAACACATACATCCTTATAGTTGGCTATGAAAAATTTCGCTGTATGATCAAGAGTTGTCGAGGCCAGGGGTAAGTTACCGAGAGGAGCGAGAAGTGGCGCATGGAGATGACCCAGTGAATCTAGTTGAAGGTGCTTTACATCAAGTAATGCGAATGCATGATCAGCCGCGACCACTAGACCAGCTTCCAAGTAAATACGCACAAGCAAAATTTTTACGTGAAAATTTACAGGACTCGACAGAAGACCGTGTTCCAATAATGACATTGCCCTGTAAATCCGTCATTTTAAAAATGTGCATGTTTTCAAAATGTCATTAGCACTTTTTCATTGATATCAATTAGTTTCGTTGTAATACATCATGAGAAAAAAATTATATTACCTATAGAGAAAAGATGCATCATTAGTATCAACCCATAATTGATGTAACAAATGTGTAGCTAATAGGATATACGGATCTGCTGGACAAAAATCAGTTGGCAATCTATCTTGCATCGGACACAATTCATTACTCTTTTCATACAAATCGCATAATCGCTTTATCAATTGTTCCTGTTTCTCTTTGTCTGCTAAAGGAGGATGATGGAAGCCACAAATACGCCGCAATTGTTCCAAGTGAATGTGCTTTTGCATTTGTTGTGCTGTAGTAGGAAACTCGTCTGGTGCAATGCCAATATCTTCTTCGATCTACAATATCATAGATAACGCTGTATTAAGCAATTGTAACAATCATTTTGATGTGTTCTTTTTAGCTGACTAACTGGTTGCACCAGTTCAGAGTTTATCTCCTTCCCCTTCTACATTGAAAAAAGAAAGATAAACTCTGAACTGGTGCAGCAAGTTCAGCTGTAAAGAACAAACCTATTATCAGAATAGAAAAAAAAATATATTACATTATTTCATAATTAGATGAATATAAACATTGAAACTAAAGAAATTCATTTCATTATATACTTTTAAGAATATATTTAAACCTTGTGTTGGATAATCTTCCTCACCTTTTCAAATAATTCAAACTTAGATTTGGGTGTAAGTAGATTTAGATATAATCGTAAATCTCCAACTACACATCCTTTTTCTCCAAATTGAGAAAAGTATTGATGCATAAAATTCATACAGGTGATACTATATTGTAGATCTTCGGTCTGGCATCGCTTCAATAATTCCAGGCGGGCCAGGTATGGCGCGCGTATTTTTTTCTCGGACAAATTAATAATGTGGTTAAAAAAATCCAAACATTCTGTCAACCGTTGAAACTTTAAGGCCGCCGAAAGATAATTCTGATAAAACGCCCAATTGTCGATGCTGTACGATAAAAATATGGCATAAATTTTTAATGATGCAGGTGTAAAGCTAGCAAAATGCTACGAAGACGAGTAAAGTGCTGAAAGGAAATTACTGGTCTTACTTTTCTTCAATAAGTGCGCGATATGCATTGGCCGCTTCAGGAAAACATTCTAGCTTCAATAAACACGTAGCTTTTCGTTGAGGTACATACGAGACGTATGAAGCTAAAGGACTAGACAATACATTTAATATTTCCTCATTTTTGTCTTGCAGCTCCAAGATCATCAGATAAAGTTGCACTTCCTGTTCCGCTTCAATCTTTCCCTCCCTTACAAGTTTTAGGACCTAATGTATTCATGGAAAGGAATTGTATTAATCGTCCTCGCAATATGCATTATTATACGCAACTTAATGAACTGTATAATTAACTCTATAATTAATTCCACAAACATAGGTGATACAACAGATCAATCAGTGTACTAACCATTCTTTCTGCCAAAGGCAAGATAACTCCTTTCGCTAACTTCTGATCAGCATGAATAGCTTGCATCACTATACTCATAACAGCCCAAAAGTAATATGGGTTTTTATGAGTCAGTTTATATAAGTTAAGCGCGGTTTGCTGTTGCTTCTTATAGTCGCCGAGGCGAACGTACGACATGAAGAGATGCGTTAGGAGCTCTTCGTTGTTCGGGTCAGCCTTTGCGGCGGCTTCATAAAGCTCGCTAACTTTATCCGCTGCACAAACACAACGCACGAAAGTTGACGACAATGCGATAAACCTTAAATATGATCTTTATATTCCTAAACGGGAGGCAAGCCGGGGACTTACGTTGATGTATCTCCCTGTAACAGATGCTCATCGCCTGCAGGGTGGAATCCTCGCAGGGCACCTCGGAGCGCACCTTGTCCATAATAGCCTGACACTCATTCTCCTTGCCCATGCGCAACAAGGCCAGGGCCTTGAGCACTCTGGCGCATTGGTTAGTCGGGTGCTTCTTCAGCACCTTGTCCGCCTCTTGGAGGGCCTTCTTGTTATTCCCATTGTCCAGCCAGTCTGAAAGCAAAGAGGAATCACTCGTACCGGGTGCCATTATATAACCTCGTCGCCAGTCCTGGAGACGCGACCGGGCGGTCCGGCGGGACTGAACGGGGCGGGATAGAGGTACGGCCGTCGACGAAGCGAGTATACGTACCGTAAATCGGTCGCAGGCGACGTTCGTTCACCGTGTTGTCCACATGGCCCTTGGACGCCATGATACTTTTTGCGGTAGCATAAAATCAACAAACGAGAAGCACGCACGATCGCAGATCACCCCGGCGCATCTTCGACGACTCCCGCGTTACAGAGATATTTTTACGCGCGTCTCACGCGCGCCAGGTCGACCTCGACGCGACGAAGCACGCTATTGCACAAAAATATTTTTATTCTTAGCCCTCCCTTCATAGAACCGCGGTTGTGCAAAGAATGACCGAACCGGCCGCGCTACCCGCTAGGTCTCCCCTTGGCGAACGCAGTAATAGAATGGAAGGAACGTAGTGAACCTCTGGCTGAGCCTAGGGAGCCTCTAATCAGAGTCACGAAATAACGTTCCCGACTTTGATTGGTGCCGCCATGTTTCGTCAAAAACCGAAAGTTGTCATGGCGGTAAGTTTAATTTGTAAAGCTTGGTATTTCAAATAGAAGAAATAAATTAAATGGATAATCAAAGAAAGTAAACTTTTATTTGTTTATACAGCATGATTGCCATAGCAGAGAGAAGCCTGAGAGCGGCCACGCCGTAGGGTTTACTTGGGACCACGGTCTAAAGCCCGCTGCAGACGATGCTATTTTTCCTGCTGGATTGCTTGCGATTTACTAAATTACTATCGTTGCACCATTCAGCACTCAGGATTCTTAGTAATTTAGTAAATCGCAAGCATTCCAGCAGGAAAAATAGCATCGTCTGCAGCGGGCTTTACACAGAGAAAAGCCTGAGAGATGTCACGGCCCCGTTTTTCGTGATACGCGAATGCGATACGCCCTCTGTGGACATTGAAAACGTGGACATTGAACTACGTAGCCAATTTGCACATTTTGCTAAGTGGGCAACGCAGATTTGCGAAATTTTGGTTGCGTTTCGTGCTATAATCAGGTCCTGTGCGATGCTCTTGTACTTAAGATTATTTTAAGTACAAGATCATTGCATGGGATCTAACCATAGCGCGGGACGGGGCTAAAATTGTGCAAATCTGCGTTACCCACTTAGCAAAATGTGCAAATTGGCTACGTAGTGTCCACGTTTTCAATGTCCACAGAGGGCATATCGCATTCGCGTATCACGAAAAACGGGGCCGTGACATCTCTCAGGCTTCTCTCTGATATGTATGAACTTTATTGGTTTCCCTTGGGGTTACAATCGTTACATCTTACACTTTCTTAACCTAACTGAACCTATCTTAGTCCAACCTATCTTAGTCCACCTAAATTAAATGTCTAAAGTGATTGGCGAATCTATCTCGCCAACCCTACCCTTCCGACATCCACGCAAACACACCGCTCTCTCGGGACTTTCGCTTCCTCTTGCCTACTTCTTTCCATTTGCTAATTAAATTAAAATTAAAATTTCTCTTTCTTAGCTATCTCGCATCTCATTCTCTCTCTTCTCCACAGAGAGCTTTGCTATTGTTTGTTCACTATGATCATCAACGTGTGTCAGTGGCTGATATTAATCGACCACTTTGACAGCTGCAACATTTTGAAGTTACAAAATGTTGCAAATTTTTACTTGAATTAAATGAAAAAGGCGACATTCATAGCAACACTTTTATCACTCGTTATGTCGCCGTACCTGAGCGCACGAAATCTCAGGCTTGTCATTTGTGAAATACAGTCGCTTATTATTTGAAAACTATTATAGCCTCGACATTTTTGTGTTAGAATTTTCCTCTTGAAATATTCTAAAGAATCTATGATTAAAAGGATATCCGGTGGTTTTAGTACACCCTGTATTGAGACTGTATTCTAACATTCACAGCCAGTACTGAAAATCTATTATACTTTATGTGACAGTTTCATTTATTCTGCTGATTGTTGATTGCGAAAAAACCGTCCCGGTCTGTGACGGGATCCTTTATATGTCGGGCTATCGTCATCTTACTTACGAATTCGGCGGCCATCTAGTGGCCGAACTGTCCGTACTTTAAGTGGGAGTGAATTTGGTGTCTTAACGACCACACTTTGAAAATAAAACTAACATTCTTCGCTCTTTGTCTTAGAATGAATTAATTCACTCTATTGGAGTAAATATTCACTCGAATAGAGTGAAGTGGTCAATGACACCATGATTCGAGTGAAAACTTTCACTACAAAAATTTTAGAGCGTATGTCAGTGGTTTTGTGATGTAAGTGCGCTTTAAATGTACGCAATGTTTATTTCAGCAACATTGATGTTCGAATACAGCAAGCGGAATTGGAGTACAGACTGGGCCGCGAGGAACTCGAGCTGCTGACTCTTCATGAAGAGAGCAGAGCCTTGCAAACCGCCTTGGAGCTGGCTGAAACTCAAGAAAAACAGAAGAATGATACAATATTCAGGTGTATATTAGTCTTTATTTTATTTCATCGCTACATACTCTGTTATTTAAAAAAATAATTGAATATATGGTATGTATACATTTAAACCCCCCAAATACACTGTATACCGCGATTGATTGAAAATATAAGTTTTGTCCAATTTAATTTAAATTCTTCTTCGGCAAGAATTTATCTAGAACTTCTCATCTTTTTTTTACGATGTTTCTTTGTCGTTTAACATTTACATGATTAAAATTTACAAATTAAGATTGTTTGCTCGCTTGTGGATTTCACTTAAAGATGAATTTTAATTCGGTTTTTCGTGGTGCTTTTTGATGCGAGTCTCTATGTTCATCGTCCCGCTTGCAGTTGTATTTCCGGCTCAACGCAAGTCACAATCCACGCGGTCGAAGTTAGCGCGGATCCGAAAAGTCCCCGTTTCGGAGCCGGACCGAGAAACGATGCGATTGGTCTCTATGTCGACTGGGCCGTGGAGGAGTCCGGTCTTTGCAAGGGAGACAGGTTCGTATTGTTCTGCACCGCACGGAATTCGCGAGTCATCGAATAAACATCGCACAGCTGTGCCCCGTCAACGGTCGAGCGTTCTGACATGAATCCGCGAATTTCGTTCATTCGTCTCACGTAACGATATCTTTCCCGCGTTTATGCGTTTGTGTTATCCCATTCGCCACATCGAAAAATTTCACGTGTACGATTTTGGTACGCTTGAGCTTGGACAGAGATATGCATATTCTTTGAGAAATACATAAACAAATTTTTTCACAGATACATTTAAATTTATAATTGTAGTTTATTTCAGATATTTTAGTTTTATAACTAGTAAGTTTCAGTCTTTTTAATTTAATTCGCTAGCATTCGTTAAACAGATTTAAATCAAACATTTCCAGTAATTTTTATATAAAAAAAATCTTTTTCTGCATCTAGAGTATCTTGAATGGATTTTATAATTTAACAAAATTTAATTGGTAATTGTCAGATTGCATTTAATGTTGAGAATTAAAATAATGAAAAGGAGAATGTTTAATTAAATTTTTGCTATAAAAATGGACTCAACATTAAGTAAAAAATATATTTCTACAATTTGTCCAAGTATTTTAGCAATCTGTGTCTCGATTTTTTCGTAACACTAGATTACAGAATATGATAATCTTAACAACTTCCTATACATACATATATGTAGAGCCAAGTGCCTTATAAACTCTTAAAAAACACCAATGCACAATTAACTTTATGAAAATTTCTCATTAATTATTAAACAGACGAATAAAAAATTTATTTTCTAACAAAGACATATTTAAAATCATTTTTCAATAATTTACTTACAAAGCCATGCACAAAATTAACGAAATATCTTATTCCACTGAGATTGAGTTGAAAATAAAATGTACGACAAAATTCCAAGAAATAAAAATTAATTGAATATTAAAACTCTCAAAAGATGTAAAGAAAAGCAATATTTAATTTTCAATCTAGAAAAATTTTCTTTACATTTTTAAAATAGGTACGTCTTTGTTGTCAACACAATCTGGATGTATACGGAAATGTAATATATATCAGGAAGTTTACTAAGTCAATCAAACATATTGACAGCATCAATGAAACTTTCTACACGCGGAAGTATATATCGAGCGTCGACGTTTTGTTTCACTGCTCTCGGGGATGTTACCATAATGCGAACGAGACATTCCTCCGCGTTTCTGTGAAAGGAGACTACCGTGCATGTAACTGCCAGAGTCGGGGTAAACCGTTCCATTTCGCGCGCTCTTTAATCATTGTCTAACAAAACCGGAAAAAAACCCTGTTTCTATCGACGTACGCCGCTCTCTATTCACGCTTCGGAGCGATACGTCACTTCCCCGATGATTCTTGAAGCTGCGTACACTGCCGCAAATCGAAACTTTATATTCACCGAATTGCATTTGCAATCGAATAAGAAACAATTTATAATTCTGCCTAACCCCTGATAGAAATACTTTGCTAAAAGTATTATGAAATTGATGAAAAGTGAGATGAAAGTTATTAAAAGTTATTGAAAAATTATTGAATTCTATCTCAAAATATATTAATTTTCCTCATGAAATTCAATGTATTGTTGTGAAGTATAAGGAAAACTTAAGTATACTGTTGAGAAGTAATAAAAAATGATTAAATATTAGGAATTTAACTAAAAAGTGTGTTACTTTTAATAAAAATAATTTTTCACTGAATGTTTACGGAAATTTTTGATAATCTAACAATCAATCGGTGTATTATCAGTGAAAACAGTGAATATTGCGATTTTCAGTGGTATACGAGTACTTTGAACTGCAAATCAGTGACTATACACTGTTTTCAGTGATAATCCACTGATTGACTTCTCGAGAGAACGGGATCAATAATTGAGATATTTTTAAATACATTTTTTTATATTTTCAAAAGTTTTTTTATATTTTCAGTAAAATATTTTCACCAGGAACTTTGGCTCTTTTCCTAGAAATCATCGTTTGAATTGAATCGAGAGACCTAAAGAAGAAAACTACTTCGGAAAAAATTTGAACCTAAAAACTCTATTAATTCGAGCACAGCCCTGTTAGTTACGGAATGGGTGAAGGAAGAATGTGGGGGGAGGGTTTCATAGTGTTTGTGCAACGACGGTATAGTAGTACATGCCACGTAACGTGGCTATCGGGGAAGAACAATGCGGCAATCTTGACATTCGGTTCCCAACGGGTCGCTGTAGCGTGAAGCGGCACCGGAAGTTCGCCGTGTGCCCCCGTTAATTGCACCCGCGACTTCACATGACCCCACCTTCTACTATTTTCCACCAGTATATCAGCTCAAGGGAATTTACTATACGACCAGCGGCGGTCCGGAGTTACCTACGTCGCTCAAAAATCGTGCGTGAAAATAATCCATCTGGCATAAAAGAGTTACAGAATAATTTAATTAAAAGATTGCAATGTTGCAAACTTGTCGCGAAATATTACTGCAAGATTGCAGTAACGTTAAAGTATTCGCCTTCAGAAAGATTGCAACGAAACGTTACAGCAGTATTGAGATGTAATGGCTGCAGTCAGCAGAAGAAGCTGCTTTGCAACAGTTGTAACATTCGTAAATTTGATTGGAGTATGCTCTTAGATTCTGCCATAATTAAGAGCACGCGCCAATCAGATTTAAGATTCTTACAACAGTTGCGAGGCAACTTTTTCTGCTGACCATAGCGGAAAAAATTTCTATAAATAACTACAAAAATTGACTTGAAATAGAAATTTGTAGAAAGTTTTATATCTTCGTTGAAACATTTATTTTTTGTAAAAATATCTACGAAATAGTACCACAAATTACAATGTTCTCTAATTAAGAAATTATTGCAAGTTGTATTTCATGAAAATGTACAACTTTGTAAAAATTAGTGCAAAACTTTACTAGTTTAAAAAATTTTTTTAATAATCTCTTCTTTTTTCGCTTTTTAATTCTTGACATTAAATATGCTAACAATCAACAACAAGAATTAAATTCTATTGAAGCATAAAGCCCTCTTAAGATTCTAAATAAAGAATAAAATTTTGTGACTATTAAAATTAATATTCAAAATTTTCGGGTCAACGTATTGCTTCTCATTAAATAACTGAAGAAAACTTCGTTCTGCGAGTATAATTGTTTTTCAGTTCCCACGCACTGCTATTCGGTATGCATCATTAAACCCAGTTCCGCACATAATTTTGCTTTGTAATTTGATCACATAAAATGTGAAGCTATGATTAGGTATCATAGTAATTATTAGCTCGAAATTTTAATATAGAGTTACATGCCCAGTGAGAAATGATTCGTAGATCGACGTCAATTCGACGGTGTCGATGTCGATTCGACTTCGATCGACGAATCATTTCTCACTGGGTGTATACAACAGGGTGTCTTATTTTAAATGATTCACGCAAACTTCCATAAATGGGGACATAAGGTAGTGTCATTGACTTGACCTTGGATAGTCATTTGAAGGTTACGTGAAGGTCACCTTCAATTTGTTAAATGGAACCCACTATTGTTTATTATACTATCTTATTCTACTAATTAATATGAACAGCTTTTGTCTGAAACATTTTTTATTTGCCTAATACTTTTTGAGATATTCAAGAGAAAATTTATAACTTTTTAAATTTCAAGAAATTCATAAAGGAAAATATTTCAAACAGTTAAATACAGTATGTAGTATTTAGTTTTTAAGCCCTCAAGTAAGGATCTTTATCTCATTCTGGCGCTCAGTTTATCTTAATTTGACCATCACTGTTCTAAATCGTCCAAACTTTAAGATAGAATACGGTCACAGCCGCGCACGACTTGTCGGTTACTTCTCTTTTCAGGATCTTGGAGGTAAACGGAAAACTAGTGGTAGGAGCGGGCAGGAGCGACTTGGCACGCCTTCTAGCCGTCGCGCCCGACGCCGCGCAGATAGTGGTCCTTCGAAAGGGCGAATCCCTTGCGGCGTTGCGCACCCTGCGCTCCGATAATCTTAGGCTGACGCACAGAATCGGTTATCTTGAGGAACAGGTAAGAGATCTCCTGGCGCCGAGTAGGACCGAAGTCACCACCGAAGATCCGCCACCAAGTCGGCAGGAACATGTACAGGTAAACGCTGGTGCTAAATTCTAAATTGAAATAAATCAATCCTCGATTCTTCAGGAGAAGCATCTATGACGAACGTAGATTCGTCCAACGTTCAATCGCATTTCAACCGGATCTCAAAGTTCCAATTTTGTCATGAACATTTACAAATTATTATTTTAAACATTAATATCCCAGAAGAGAGTAATTACCACATAAAAACATTTGTAAGAGTATACGCTACATCTATAAGAGAATAAAAGTACAAGTAAATAATTTGACTCAGAATGACAATTTTGTGTCATAGGTTTTCCAAAAGGGGCCTCAAGTGACAGCACTCGTCGCGAATCTACCTGGTCTCAACGTGAAAAGCTGCACAGAACTGCGGCAGAGCCTGCCGACCGTCCGAAGTAGACATAGCGATCACTCCAGGCGGCTGGCGGACTCGAAAAACCAACGTGAGCTTGACTTCTCATCCGACGGGGTCGCGAACGGTCATCACAAGTCCCGGAACCGACAAAAGCACCAGGGACTCCAGCTGGCCAGGTCGACAGCCAGTCTCGATTGCAAGCAATCGCCGATGCAATCGCAGATGCAACGTCGAAGATCACCGCGTGTCGAGTCTGCAATGGAGCATCTGCACAAGAGTCGCAAGAGCGGGTCGCAGCTGCAATCGCTGGAGTTCGACTCCGAGCCGACCTACTATCGTTTACAGGTAGGGGAAAGTCCCATATTATGAGATAGGCTCCTAATATGAGATAACGAGGTTTCTGCTAAATCAATATAAGGCATCGTTTATTGGTTCCACCACATGAATTTATTGCCCTTGGGGTGAAATCTGTTTAGTGAAAAATTGATTGTTAGATCGTGTAATCGTTGCGAAAAAAGATTTGCGATTGAATTTGGATGTTGAAAACCTACTATCTCACGTTAAAATTTTATCTCTTAACAGAGGCCTTTCCTCTACCTATATCGTTCGCCGACGTACAACGACATGGTATTGATCGAATTGGCATTGACAATTGGGAAGCTGCTAAAACTATAATAAATAGCTATTATTTTGTAATTTAAACGTGCTCCACGGAAGAGATTAATCACTTTCATAAACACATAGTGCAGAAAAATATACATTTATAAACTTATAAAAATAAATATGTGTAGAAGTTTTATATACTATACTTATACATACACTTATATGGTTGTCCCTCAATTACACGGAGTATCCGTTTTTTTTCCGTATCTCCGCATATTATTTGATGTAGAACCCTCGTGTTCCAGAACGTTCAAAACTTATAAAAAGTTCTTATCTTGAATATTCGAAACTACTTGACATTTTCGTAATATGTATTGTATATTTCACATTAGAAGTGTCTAGCATTCACTAACTGCATCTCTAAAAATTTCGTATACATTTCTCCTACATATAGGGTATATACTTCGCAAAGTATATGTACGTACTGTTTATATACTTCACCAAATTCTGCATGCACCTATATACGTCTGTATTTAACTCTCTTTTTCTACATTTTAGGATTCACAATCTCGCGCATCGGAGAATTCAGAAATATCGGTGGTGTACAGTTCCCAGGAGGCGAAGACCCGTCCGGCACCACCGAAGAAACCGCTACGGCTCTCCCTGCATCGCGCGGCGAGTCTTCAGTCTGTAGAGAGCGCTCCACCGGCCGCGTCGCAACATGACGTGGCTCGGAAGCCAACGAAGAGGAACCACCGCGGCGATCCACCTACGGAGAAGACGACATCGCGGCCCGAGGCGAACGGAAACGTGAACTCGAATTCCCAGGAGTCCCACGCCAGTCCGCCGCAACCACCCCCGAGGACGCCCTCCAGGGCGGAATCGTGTCAGAGTGCCCTACGATGGCCCTCCCCGAAACCGAGAGCACACTTAACGTCCATACCGATGGAGAAGTGGTGCTGAACGTTGGGACGTTCCAAGGACGAGAGACTGTAAAGGTGAAGAAAAGAAAGGAAGGATAAACGATTCCCAAGATAGCTGCCCATACAGCAAAACAAGTTTCAGAAAGCTTTCCGAAAGATAACTTGGAAATTAATATTGAAATGTAAAATTGAAATCATTCAGAAATATCTTTGAAACGTTTCATCAAAATCACATATCATTGAAAGCTTTCCAAAAGATACCTTGGAAATTAGTATTGAAATGTAACATTGAAATCATTCAGAAGTATTTCTGAAACGTTTTATCGAAATCATTTATGATCCTTCTCACTGAGATATTTCAGAAATATTACGAAACATTTCAGAGAAATATTTCGTACGTAATCTCTAAAACATATGTTATTGAAAGCTATCCAACATATAACTTGGAAATTAATAGTGAAATGTAAGATAGAAATCATTCAGAAATATTTCTGAAATGTTTCATCGAAATATTTTATGATCCTTCTCACTGAAATATTTCAGAAATATTACGAAATATTTCTCTGAAATGTTTCTATTTTTCTATTTCTATAAATGTTTCTATTTCTCAGAAATATTACGAAACATTTCAGAGAAATATTTCGTACGTAATCTCTAAAACATATATTATTGAAAGCTATCCCTGATGGAAAAATTTTGCTGAAAACGTAATGAAATTTGCTGAAATTGGTTGAAAATCTCTTACAATTGATCCAATTTCATTATCATTTCAGCAATTTTTCATTGAAAAATTTATTTTCAGTGAAATTCTGCAAATTTTATAATATACAACATTTCAAAAATTTTTTTCACTAATTTTTAGTAATATTAATTAACTTTCATCTAATTTCACAGTATTTCATTGAATTTCATAACGAAACTTATGATTTATTTTGAAATGGTTTCAACAAGTTTCCAATAACTTTCATTTCACTTTTCATCAATTTCATTACATTTTCAGCAAAATTTTTCCATTAGGGTATCCCTGATAATATCAAAATAAATCATAAGTTTCGTTATGAAATTCAATGAAATACTGTGAAATTAGATGAAAGTTAATTAATATTACTAAAAATTAGTGAAAAATTTTTGAAAT